ATGGCAGCAGGAGAGAGGAATGGGTGCCCAACAAAGGGGGAGCCCCTTATAAAACCATCCGATCTCGTGAGAACTAATTCTCATGAGAACAGGATGGGGGAACTGCCCCCATGATTCCATTATCTCCACCTGGTCCCTCCTGCGACACATGGGGATTATGGAAACTACAATTCAAGATGAGATTTGGGTGGGGCCACAGCCAAACCCTATCCCAGGGGCAGGCCACAGTGGGCTACAGGCAGTGCCTTCTGGCTTCAAGGGAATCAATTTCTAAATTTTGGGGAATTTGTGAAGTTTGCTATTGAAAAGTCAGTATTAAATATCAAATTATATTAAATTACAATTAAATATGTTATATTAGGCCAGGCATGGTGGCTTCTATAATCCCAGCACTTTGGGAAGCCAAGGCAGGCAAATGGCTTGAGCCCAGGAGTTCAAGACCAGCCTGGGAAGCCCTGTCTCTACAAAAAAATACAGAAATTAGTGACGCACATGCACTCGCTACTCAGGTAGCGAGCTACTCAGGAGGCTGAAGTGGGAGGATCACTTGAGCCCAGGAGGTCAAGGCTGTAGCGAGCTATGATCGTGCCACTGCACTCAAACCTGGACGACAGAGTAACACTCTTCCTCAAAGGAAATAAAAACACATTGTATTAAAATCAAAGAAGATAAATAGACAAAATTCCTCACTTCCTAATTATTTTACCACATTACTATCGTCTGTGTTTGAGGGTGTCATGTCCACTGTATCTGTGGGGTGGAAATATTATATAATGGTGCACAGCTGTGAATTCTTCCCTCCTCCCCAACTCTGCAATTAGGGACACTATGTTGATAGTTTGAAATCAGCTTTGGTGAGAGTATTTATACCACAGATACAAATGAATGTTACAAACCAAAGCATTTTTTCCTCCAGAGAACGGCTTGTTAAACATTTGCCCGCACACCACTGTGTGTGTTTGCCCTATAGGGATTCTGGGGATGGAACACAGCCACCTTTGTGGGACCACTCTCCTGATAATGGCAAGTGTAGAATGCACTGATTTTAGGACCAGAGGCCCCTGAGGTATCCGAGGTCCAGCTCAGTGACAGATGTGGGCACAGCTGCCACCCTAGGCAAACAGAGAGGGGACTGAGAGCAAATCCTCCTGCCTCAGTCTTGGTGAGAGCCGCTGGGCAGGAGCTGTGGGGATGGGGCACAATGGCAGTCTGGGCATGAACAAAAGCACAGTGCAGGCCAAGCGTCTGCACCGAGAGCCAGTGAAGCATGGCAAGGAACAGAGAATAAGGAGTGGATGCCACCCAGATCTCACCGGCAACCAGGAAGCTCAGATTCTCACCATGGCCAATCTCATCCCTTCAAACTCCTTCAGACCCCAGGGACTCTGACCTAAGAGTTCCTGCCCACTGCAGGGATGGCACCCAGGCCAGGCTCAGGCAGGCACTGCCTGTGGCAAGTGTCTAGGAGCTGTGTCCCCAGGAACGGCAAGGGACCAAACGGAGCACCCTGGCCAGTGAGGCTGAAGATCAGCTTTGTTATGGTCTCATGTTCCCCCGGGGTGCCTAGAATCAGGTCTTGAACACAGTAGGAATCCAACTGATGAGAATAGCTAACAACGATCAAGTGCCAGGCTTCAGGTATGTGAACTAACTGAAACCTCTTTAACCTACGCACCATTATCATCCCCACTGGACAGATAAAGTAGGTGAGGCATAGGAGATGAATAACCTGCTCAGGGTAAGGAAGCGATGGAGCCAGGATTCCTACCAGGCAGGCTGGCTCCAGAGTCCATCTCTTACTGTCGACCCCATTCCCTCCCTGCTAAATGAGGGATGCAGTGTGAAACGCCACATGAGGGTTGGGGAGATTTTGGGGTGAGCTGGGGTGTTGAAGTCACAAAGATGAGACTCGGCAACTTGCTGAATGCCTTTGGGCAAGCTGCTCCTTCCTCATCTGGGTTGTTGTGAGGATTTTAAAAAAGAAGAAAGGCTGGGCACGGTGACTTACGCCGGTAATCCCAGCACGTTGGGAGGCTGAGGTGGGTGGATTACCTGAGGTCAGGAGTTTGAGATCAGCCTGGCCAACATGGCAAAAGCCTGTCTATGCTAAAAATACAAAAATTAGGCGGGCATGATGGCAGGTGCCTGTAATCTCAGCTACTCAGGAGGCTGAGGCAGGGAGAATTGCTTGAACCCAGGAAGCAGAGGTTGCAGTGAGCCAAGATCTCACCCCTGCACTCCAGCCTGGGCAACAGAGCAAGACTCCATCTCGAAAAGAAGAAGGAGAAGGAGAAGAAGAAGGAGGAGGAGGAGGAGAAGGAGAAGAGGAAGAGGAAGCAGAAGAAGAAAATGTTGTAAAGCGCCCAACACAGTGCCTGGCACATAGTTGGAACTCAGACTTAGGAGATCACAGTGTTACTTCCAGGCATTAGGGACTTGGCTCCAGCCCAGCACTTCCATCACCAGCGTGGGTCTCAGGCAGGTGCCTCTAGACCTCAGTGACCACATCTGAAACAGGAGGGGACAGGGCGGCATGATCTCTGAGATCCACACCAGCATGAATATTCTCTGCCTCTATGAATAAAGCAGGTAAGAGGGGTATTGGAGTGTCAGAAGAGACTGGCTGTGCTTTAAAATCCTGCAATTCATGTTTGAACAGACACACAAAAGTAATAATTATCCAAGTGTGGTTGGGGGTCTTGGGTTCTTTCATTAAGTTAACAGAATTGCCAATCAGGTAACATCTGGAGACAAAACAACTCAATTCATTCCTCACTGATGGGAATCTTTAAGGAGAACAAATCCCTCCCAGAAAGATCCAGATGAGAAAGCAGCAGATACGAGCTCAGCTGCTCAGAATAGCCCCGTCTAGCCTTGAGGCCTCATTCATGACCCTCTTATCACCATTTCTAAATCAATCACAGGATGGGCGCTCAAGGGAACTGCCGAGAAGTGGCAGGAGCTGCTTCTGAAACCTGCAGCTCCCACCCCTTCCAGACAGAGTCGGGGAACCGAGGGACAGGGTTCGCAGGAGCACCAGGCCTTGCCCCTCAGATGGGAAATGTCCAGGAGTCAGACGACAGCAAAGTTTCCAACTGGAGACTGTGAGAGGCTTAAGAAAAAAAATCAAAGTATAAGATCAAACCTCACGATAAACACCCAGAATGTGGTGTCAACACCACCATCCAAGGCTGCAAAACTGGACTTGAACTAAACCTTACGTGTTTACACCACACGAGGGCAGCCCCCACCTGTTTGTCTTTGTCTTCCCAGCCTCCTAACGTAACACCTGGCATGTCCCTGACCCAAATGAATGCCTTAAATAAAGGAAAACAGGCAAATACTAAGTCATCTGGCTTGGCTTCAGGAAACGACCATGACCTGGTAAATCAGCTTTGCCTGATGGGAACCCAAGTGACTTTGAGCCCTCTCCAAGGCCCAGAGAAAAGTGGCATCCACAAATGGGTTTCATGAAAACTGCAGTACTGGCCAGGCACGATGGCTCACACCTGTAATCCCAGCACTTTGGGAGGCCGAGGCAGGTAGATGGCCTGTGATCAGAAGTTTGAGATCATCCTGACCGACATGGTGAAACCCTATCTCTACTAAACATACAAAAATTAGCCAGGTGTGGTGGCACATGCCTGTAATCCCAGCTACTCAGGAGACTGAGGCAGGAGAATCGCTTGAACCTGGGAGGCAGAGGTTGCGGTGAGCCAAGATCATGCCATTGCACTCTAGCCTGAGTGATGAGAGTGAGACTTTGTCTCAAAAACAAACAAACAAACAAACAAACAAACACCTACAGCACCACCCACTAGTTGCTACTTTCTCATGCAGTGTCCAGAAATGATTTGAATATCAATTAGTTGTAAACACCACTGCACTCGGACCAGCCATGATTTGAATATCACAGCACATCAGTGTCTAGCTTATTCTGCTTCAACACAATCCCACCTTCATATCATATACACTTTTCTTCATGCTGCCATCGGCTCCATTTGCAGGAAACGGCATCGGGGCATTTTCACCCATTTGGAGACCCTGCCTGCAGAACCCTCAAGAGACTCATTTCATTCATTCCTTCAGTCTTTTTTTCAGACAAGGGTTCTTAGGATCATTCATTCATTCTACACAGATTTGCTGATACTGTGCAGGTTGCATCTCAGAATCCAGTCCTGCTCTCAGCACGGGTGCTGACTCGTAGGAGGGATAAAGGCAGCCTTACACCCCGGGAGAGGAGGTCCGCGGTGGAAGCATCAGACACTGTAGGAAAAAAAGCCAAAGAACAGGGGCGAACAGTCAGGCTTGCATGTTTGATGTTTGGAGTATGCAAATATCCAGAGAAAAGAAAGGTAGGTGTAACCTGTCATCTCAAAGTGCTAAAAAGGAATCCAGCGCTCAGGGCAAGCGGCAAGGAAGCTTTCCAAGAAAAACTTCTGGGAGAATAAAGTGAGATCGGCGAAGGGGCTGATCGCAAAGTCTGGCGGGTACTACACACATTACCCAGTAACTACAGCTCTTCCGGCCTTGCCAGGCTCTTCGAGCGGGCACCCACCCGGTATCCTTCCCGCCTTCCACCAACAAAGACTCACCTTGCCCCAGTGCTGGGTGCGGGCCCTGTGAGCCGGGCGGCGGGGCCCGCTTTTCCTTGCATTCTAAGCGCCGCAGGCTACTCGCCTGGGGCGTCTCCAAGCACCAAACTCCGCGTAGCTCCATCTCCTCCCTCTTCCCCACCATGTCCACGCATGATCCCTTGTCCCCTGCTGGCTGTGCCCGATCGCCAGGGAGCGCCTTCCTACGAAGAGGAATCTGGGGAGGCCCTGCCGGTGCCAGCCCAGTTCCTGCTCTGGGACCGCAAACCCCCAGGAAGCCCGCTCACCCAGTAGGGTGGAAAATTGGCGCCTCGGAGCTCCTTTAACCCCGAAGTCCGTGGGCAGGGGGCTGAGTTTCGACCACAGAGGAGGGCGCTCGCGGAAGGGGGCGGGGAGAGAGCTTACCCAGGCATGAGGCCAGGGGGCACATAGGCGGCATTGAACTCGGTCAGTAGGGTGCCCGCGCTGCGGGAGGCCATGGTGGGTGCGCGAGCGCAGCGAGCCTGGCGCCGCGCTCCGCTCCGCCCCGCGGTAAACAGCGGCGGGTCACCCGGCAACGGCCACGGCGTGCCTGGCAACCCCCGCGGGCCCCGCCGTCCTCGCGTTCCCGGACACCGCGCCCTCCTGGCGGTCCCCGCCTCCTGTCTCTGCGAACTTTGCGGGGTGACCTCTGCCCCTTGTCCTGGCGCACCGTGGCTGCCTGCGGGATGTGGAGAGGCTCAGATGCGGGACGGAGGCAGAAACTCGCTGGAGAGGCCTGCAGGGATCCCTTTTGCAGTGACCCGGCTTGGAACAGGACGCTACTGCAAAGGACAGGCCAGGTCCTGACTTAGGAGGCCACGCACAAAGCAGCTGCCCCACCACGGCTCAGGCTCAGAAACCTCATCGGCCGAAGAGGCCCCAGGAGCTCTCTCTCCACAAGGGTTTCCCCGGCACCCCAGCTCCTTGGGGGCTCCAGGAAAGGGCTCTCCAGTGGGCAGCACTGAGCGTGGTTGCCTAGGATGCTGTGTATAATTGTGTGCGTATGTGTGTTTGTGTATGTGTGTGTGTATGTATGTGTGTATGTATGTGTATGCACGTGTGTACCTGTATATGTGTGTATGCATGCATGTGTGTATATGAATCTCTGTGTATATGTGTGTGTCATGTATATGTGTGTTATGTGTATGCATGCATGTGTATGTGTGTATGTATGTGTATGCATGTATATGTATGTGTGTATGAATCTCTGTGTATATATGTGTGTGCATGTGTGTGTGTGCATGTGTGTGTATATGTGTATGCATGTGGGGGGGAGGTGGGTGTATGTATCTGTGTGTATGTGTGTATATATGTGTTCATGTGCACGTGTGTATGTGTGCGTATGTGTGTGTGTGTATGTGTATGTGTGCGTTGCGTTCAATGTACTCCTGAATCTCTAGCTGGTAGCTTCCTTCTCATCTCATTGTGCCCTTCAAACTACTCCAGGAGAGTTTTATTGGTAAGGGGCGCAAAGAAAATAATAGAAAGTCTGAGTGTGTGATTTACATTTGTCCCCAATGCCACCATTCATTTTGGGGGTGGCATCCACAGGTGGCGTTTCCCCCGGAGAGCAGGCCTGCTGAAGGCCCACCGCTGTGTACTCCTGCCTCGCTCCTGTGGCTGTTCCAGCCTCCACGTCCAGGTTTCCCTGGGGACACTCACACCAGCCTTGGTGTACAGGGCAGGGCCAGGGCCTTCGGGTTTTCCCTAAGGCAGGCGTCCCCAATCTTTTTACACAGGGGGCCAGTTCACTGTCCCTCAGACCGTTGGAGGGCTGCCACATACTGTGCTCCTCTCACTGACCACCAGTGAAAGAGGTGCCCCTTCCTGAAGTGCGGTGGGGGCTGGATAAATGGCCTCAGGGGGCCGCATGCGGCCCGCGGGCTGTAGTTTGGGGACGCCTGCCCTAAGGGGTGAAGGTATGGAGACAGCTTCCACGGTCCAGGCTGTTGGTGACTCTGGTGGAGGCCCCACCACCTCAGCTCCCTCTGTAGCAATCCTGGTGTCATGAAGAAGCCTGGCAGGTCCCCCTTCTTCTCCCCATCTCGCTTCTTCTCCTCAGATGTCAGATGGAGAGCTGAGAGTCAGCGGGTGAATGAGAAATCAGGGAAGCCTGGAGGAGGCATGGGAGAAAGCCTGGGGCCCAAAGCCCCCAGCAAGCCGGTTCTCTTAGGCCCTCTCTCCCCTCCCTGGGCTGGCCAGACCAACCCCCTGCTGAGCTAAGCTACCAAAGCTCTGAGCCCTCTTTGAATGAAGGTGACGGCCTCTAACGCCAGGGCAGAGGGCCTGGGGCTGCTGCGGGAGCTTTGTCAGGTGATCCTGGGCCCCAGGGGAAGTGGCAGGCCAGAGGGAGGGAGAGAGCTGAGAGTCAGGGGGTGGCTGAGAAGGCAGGGAAGCCTGGAGGCAGCTTGGGAGAAGGCCTGGGGCCCAACGCCCCCAGCAAGCCGGCTCTCCCAGGCCCTCCCTCCCCTCCAGAAGCCGGCCAGACCCAGCCGGTGTCTAGCTTCAGAGCTTCAGGCATGCTCAGGTGGAAGCAAAAGCCCCAGGCACTGGCCCACCGTCCTGAGGCTGCCTCGGTGGGTCTCTATGGGGCGGCCCCGGGCCCCAGAGAAGTGGCAGGCCTGCCGGAGAGAGAGCTGAGAGTCCGGGCGTGGGTGAGAAGGCAGGGAGGGCTGGAGCCAGCTTGGGAGAAAGCCTGCAGCCCAAAGTCCCCAGCAAGCTGCTCTCCCGGACCTTCTGTCCCCTCCAGGGGTCAGCCAGACTCTGCTCCTGCCTAGTTCCAGAGCTCCCGGCTGGCTCTGGGTGGAAGCGAAAGCCCCAGGCACCCCAGGCTGGTTCTGTAAATGGCAGTGGATGAAGACCACAGATGCTAATGGGTTCACAGGATGTGGCTGCCACCAGGATTCTCCAAAGACTTTCCCTGGCAAATGCCAGTGAAACAGAGGCGAGCCGCAGGCTTCCCAGAGGCTCAAGAAGCAGAAGCACTGAAGCCTGGTGGGAAAGGAGCTCTAGGCAAAGGAATGGTTGCAAACAAACTCAGTGGAAGGAAAACATCCTCGGAATGTAGTCATGCTTGTATTTTTCTAAATTCTCCCTGGGGAACTTGTTCTACAAAAAGGCAAACATGAGTCAAAGACCCCCAGCCCTGGTGAGGTTGACCGCTCCCTCCCTCCCTCCCTCCCCCATTAGGGCTGCCCAGCCAGTCCTGCTCGTAAACCCACCACCTGCCTGTGTTCTAGTCCATCTGTCTCTTCTACTTGGGCTCTGGTCCATCCATATCTTATTTATCCCTGAATCTCAGCACCTGGCTCTGGAAGGAATTCAGTAAACGTTCATTACGTAATTTATATACTGAGTTACCAAAATGGGTAGTAGAAGAAAGGAAATTAAAAAGTGGGATATTAAAAAGTGGGATAATTAAAAAGTGGGATATGCCTGTAATCCCAGCACTTTGGGAGGCCGAGGCAGGTGGACCACTTGAGGTCAGGAGTTTGAGATCAGCCTGGCCAAAATGGTGAAACCCTGTCTCTACTAAAAATACAAAAATGAACTGGGCGTGGTAGCACATGCCTGTAGTCCCACTTATTTGGGATGCTGAGGCAGAAGAATCACTTGAACCCGGGAGGAAGAGGTTGCAATGAGCCCAGATGACTCTACTGTACTCCAGCCTGGGTGACAGAGTAAGACTCTGTCTCAAAAAAATAAACTAAAATAGAAGTGGGATCTATCTTAGGTTTCAGAAGGGTCAGCTGACTCCACTGAAGCCTGCTAAGTGGAAATGCTACCATTTTATGGATGTGGAAACAGATTCAGCAGAGATCAGTGCCTTCGCCAGGGCAGGTTCATGGGCTTTTTTCTAAAGATGCAAAGGTCTGTTGGCGGCCTCATGAAATTTACCACCTTCAGAGGAGGACTTCCAGAGAACCAAGGGAGGAGATGGTTTGTTTGTTTGTTTTGTTTGTTTGTTTTTAACCTTGTAGCCACCAAGCCTTAAAAACACAGATCCCCTGATGACCTCATGGATAGAAAATGCTGGTTTTGTTTGTTTGTTTTTTTAAAGAGACATTAAACTAATCTAGCTTTCGAAATTAGAATTCGCATTCACTTGTACTTAGTAGACAGAATACTCTAAAACATTTTTAAATTCAATATGATTAGATAAATGTGAGAACGGTAAGCAAGAACTGGGTAAGAAAAAGGGCAAAGAAAGAAAAAAATGTAAGTAGGAAAAGAAAAAGTAGGGTCCAGTAGCAAGGAAATATCTAGAAGGAGGAAAGAGAGCTCTTGGGACATCCCGTAGGTTGTTTGGAATGTAGAAGTCAAAGGCAGTAACCTCTTGTTATCATGCTGTGAAAAAATTAGTATTTCTCTTTTTAACCTGTAGATTCTGTTTCAGGTCGATCCCCGAACTCACTCTTTTATCCTGTCAACAGCAATTGGGCATTCTACCATGCACAGGATGCCGTGTGGGGCTCTGGGGTGCAGGGATGCTGTGCTCCAGAGTCTCCCTGGGGTCAGGAGGGGAAGAGGCAAGGGGAGCAGTCCCAGGACTCTGTAAGATGAGCGGGGTGGGAGCAGCACAGAGGAGGACCCCCACCCAGGTGGGGTGCAGGTGCAGAGGCACCTCCAGGAGCAGGCACTTGAGCTGAGTCCAGGATAGGGTGGGGGGCATTCCACCAAGAGCGAATAGCAAGAACAAGGGTGCAGATGACCCTGCACAGCCTCCAGCATCGGGAATGTCAGCCCCCGGGGTCCCTTTCTTTGGTGTATGCTGCTGGAAGACAGGAGGGGTAACTCTACTTTGGTCCTTAGAAATTTCACTATAGACATCCCTTCTCCTGCCCCTAGCAGGATTAGAGCAGAAGGCCATTCAATTCTGCTCCTCCGGCTGGAAAGCAAACATCAGCCTGGCTTACCTTGGCTAGCCTGCCTGACCCCCAGCCTTCGGCTGGGGCTAGGTTAGCGCCCTGGATCCTTAAACATGGCCCCTGGTGCACGCGAGCATAAGCCTCTGCTGCCTCCACCACCAGGCATCTCCATCATGCGTGGCCTGGTCCTGAGCTTCCCCTCAGGCAGCAGCCACAGCCTCTCTGCTTCCTGAGATTCAGAAACGGGTGATCCCGGGGCAGAGCTCGGTGCCCAGCCTCTTGGGGTCACAGTCTCCATCAGGGAAGAGGCGGGGGCAGGTGAGCAAATACGTTCCCATCTTCTTGTAGCGTGCCCCTGTGGGTGGGAGTGCCCCCTGCCCTGTACCCACCCCACCTGTGCTCATGCCCACTCCTCTCTGCCTACTGCTGGTGGCAGGGCTTGCTTAGCAGGGAAGCAGCAGAGCCCTTCGGGGTGGTGGGCAGAGCTTTCCTTCTAGGAGCTGGGAGAAGACACCTGAAGCTGGATAGGGCTTTATCTGGGAGCCGGCGGCTGCTGAATAATGAATTCCAACTCTGCCGCACTCCCGGGCTGCGCACTGGGTGCACACACACACACACACACACACACACACGCT